ATATCCCCGACTGGAATCTTACCATTTTCTACCCCAAACAGTTGAGATTCTTTTTTTTTCAGACGCCAGAAGAATGTCGTTATTGTGGTTTTTACTACTGTGGTTGGATTCAGCTGAGGGCCACGCATCATTGTGTGGAAGTTTGATGAAAGTCAGGTATAGAGGCGCGAAGGATCTGACCTGAATCCGGCTCTTGAAAACCACTCACGGAAATTGGATTTCTACCTTAAACGGGCCGAGACTGAACGAGCAGAAATGTTTCCACTTTCCATTCAAAACATTGTTTATATTTATGTTAAAATGCGGTGGATTGATCTTCAGAAAAAGGATTGATTTCGAGCTTGTTTTGCACAAAAACTCTGAGTATAACTGAATTTTTAAGGGTGCCAGATGGCTTTGGCACATGACAATCGGTACTCGGGAAGTTTAACCAATTACAGACGCAAACTATTTGAAAGTTAATTCAATATGCATTTCTTTGACCGACATCTCACCAAAGACGACATGGAGTGTCCCCATTGCAGTAAGCCCCGCCCCTCTGGTGCTCCAAAAGATTTACATGCATCTGCTGTTCCACACAGGTCTTGTATACAGCTTCTGAACTGTGTGCAGTTAGTGTTGCCATACCTGTGGCTGCAGAACCGAGTGTCCCAGGCCCCGCCGGTGGTGGAGCAGGCCTGCTGGCAGGACAGACACAGAGGGACACCCTCACTGTCCACTGCCTGCAGGAAGCCGGACTCTGACGGCTGCTGCTGCTGCTCCTCCTCCTCCTCCGTCTTGGAGGACTCCCCATCCCGGCTGCGGTCACACGGATAGAGAAAGAAATCTATCACATTAACTCGCTTTATGAAGACAAACTCGTAGAATCATTGATTATTATGCATCACGTTAGACACAGAGGACACTACTGCAAACATTTCCTGAAAATATAATAGATATAAAAAGATATGCATGTGCAACAGAAATATTTAGACATAAAAGCCGGTTCTAATAAAATTGAAATATATAATAGAGCACACTTTAGCATTACATATGTTGTTATGCAATGCTTAGATAATTAACACGACTGTAAATATGGTAAAATGTGAACGTAGCAGACTTAAGTGTGGGTAAACACCTCGATATTGACAAGAAATGACAAAATGCGGAACTACTTTCAATGTCAGCCTGCGAAATCAATGGATTCCTTCCATTTACGCCATCTATTCTGTGCATCTGTTTGATGAGCGGCTGCAGCAGATTTTCAGCCCTTTGTATCCAGGAAACTTCAAAAGGAAGCTACCTTGACCCGCGTGACAGCCATCAGTCTGTGAGCCGACGGCGTGTTCAATGTCAGCTCAGTTCTTTCAACACCAGCAACACAGCAAACGCAATTCAATATTTATATTCATCCAATTTAAAAAAAGCATATATATATATATATATATATATATATATATATATATGCTTGCTTTGTGTGCTGCAGATGCAGAGATGATGTAAATATGGCTGCTGTGTGTGTGTGTGTGTGTGTGTGTGTGTGTGGAAAATGTCTACATACTGTGTGTGAATGCATCTGTAGAACATTTCAAGTGTGTGTATGTGTATGCAGTTTTGGCAGAGGACAGTGAGCTTGGGCATTTGGCCATGTTGTCCCAGCAGGGTGCTAGAGCCACGTTGGTGGTGACAGATGGACTAAATTCTCTTTCCCTGTGGTTCACAATTCAGACAGAGAGAGAGAGGGGAACAAAGAGACAGAGCACTACAGAGTGAGATTTAATCATTGAAATGGAGAAGAAAAAAAACTTTTAAAAAAAGGAGCCTCTCTGCTTCAAAGTTGAGAAGATACCAAAAACTGGAAGTACCAAGAGACAAATACTGTGCCAGCAACATCTAGTGGATGAAAGAGAGACAGATATAGACTTTTTTTACTGGTGTGCCCAAACAGAATGGTGAAAATATGGTACTTTAGAAAAAAAATGAAACCCAGAAATATTTTTTTGGGACTGTAAATGTTGAATGCATTAGCCAGAAAAAAACATATAACATAATAATGTAATTAAAACTAATTATTACGTGTGCTTCACATTTATCTTCAAAGTAATTTCAATGCATACATGCACAAAGCAAGTGAGCATGTTGGCAGCTCAGCGTCGCAGTGTGAGGTAACTCGTGCTTCAAACCCCGGAAAATCACGCAACATGCCTTCAGCAAACGGTGCACAGCCTGCCAGTGTTTACCAGCAAGCTGATCCCCGGTGCTTCCTAACAAAGGAAACCAAGAGGCACGGGAGAGGGAGCAACATCTGACGCTGCCGAGTGCTCGCTCACTGCTGAACGGGAGGAAGATTCTGTTTTATTTGGGATTGCGACCACACCAGATTTTATTTGAGACAATCTCGTGCATCTCCGTCTTAACATTGGTGATATTAAACCGAAAACCTGCGATTTGTGCCACAATGGGTTGACGTGTTACTGTTGGCAAATAACACCTCGAAATAACCAATAAATGTGTGAAATGGCGGAAACTCACCCTGGACTGGAGACAAAAGTAAATTGTAGAAACAGATTAGCATAAAAGCTGATCTAAATATTAGCTTTAAACTTTATATTTTCAGAGGTACTACTCTCAGACGGCCCCCTTTAAGACTCATGGTCCATCACAAACATTTGAGTGGAACAGCAGCTGCTGCGTCCATATGAGGAACACCGTTTGCTGTAGGTTGTCATAGTGATATTCCATCCTGGGGCTGAGCAGGTTGCATCTCACACGGCAGATCGTATTAGGGTCTTTATTTACTGTACCAACACGCTCAGCAGGCCTTTGTGCCTCTCCCACAGATCTCCATGGAGACAGCTATGGAAAGGAAAATGAAAATAGACCGAAACCCCTAAAGGCGAAGCCGCGTGTTGGCACAAACCACCTTCATGTAGAGACCATGAAACCTCATCGTTAAAAACCACAAACAAGGCTGTACGTGATCCGTTGGTTCTAAATACTGTACAAAAATAACTGCAGTGTATAGCAGCTCCTGTGAAGCTTTGAGCCTAGAGAAGGAGGCTATTTAGGACTTTTCAAGATCCGAGCACGGCTCGACCTCTCCTTGCCGTGAACATCCGCCCACACAGCCGCCCTTTCACCCACCTCTCCGAAGCAGGTGGCGTCAGCGGAGCGGCGGACCTCCTCTTTGCGAAGAAGTTTTCCTTGGTGACCAGGCGGACGCTGCCTCCCTCCTGCTGGGCCTTGCTCAGGGAGGCCCGGGCCACCTCGTCCTTGCTGAGGTACCTGTGAAAAATGGGATAAAACGGGGCTGTGAAGGATCGGAGGATTTGTGTAACCAAAGAGTTTGAAGAGAGCAGATTCGCATGTCGGTGCATGGGGGGCGTAGAAGGAGATGGATTCACAAACTCTCTCTGGACAGTGTTAGTAGCAGCTAAAAAGGGAAATCTGATGCCAGATGCGTGTTTATATTTTCCAAAACTGTGCTTAAACACAGAAACTCCTACTTTCATTGCTTATTCAATTCTACATATTTGCTTGTATTCCGTTTGTCCTCCTCCCCGTGCTGAAGCACTTTTTGCTGCTGCAGCGATCTAATTTCCCCACAGGCATCATCAATCATCTAATCCATCCAGCCACTGGTTTTTATGGCCCTTGTAATACAGATGCTCTAGGTGTGCCGGTCGAGGATCCCATGAAACAGTGCACGTCAATCTGGACAGGATTAAAATGACCCCGGGGCGTTGACACGAAATGCAGGAGGAGAAAAAGAGTTAGGGGGGTGGGGGACTTGTTTGTTCTAGGTGGAAGAAAATTGCTGTGGTCTTGAGAGAAAAGTGACCAATCACCAAACGTCCCCAGGTAACATTAAGGCTTTCCACAGAAGGATGATACAACACTCTAATGGTCCCCTCGGAGCAATTATCCTCTCTCTGGCTGCCTCTACAGGCAGGTCAGAGATCAGGCTTAGCTACTACACACCTGCCCTGCAGTTGGTGGGGACTCGGGTGTTCTGCTCGAAGACACGTTGCCAGACTGGATGTTTGCCGACTCAAGTGGGCCGGCTGATATTTTTATTATTCTTTCGTATCGGTTTTGCGACGGTATTTCGTGACTGTGTGATGATTTTTTTGCGGCTTGTGTAACATTTTGTTCTGTACTTTTATTTTGAAGTTTCTCTGTTAGAGGTGTCTCGTCCTCATTGGATAACTGGCAAAGATTCAGCCTTCTTGTACGTAGAGTAGGTATAACCTTTTACCCCCATATGCATTGGTTATTAAACTAGATAGAAGACTCTTTTAGTAGCAATTTGAAAGAAATGGATTATGTCAATGACGCAAACAAAACGGCAGTTATAAAAGAAAAAAGCAAGGGGCGAGGTAAGAAAAGACGGATGGGGAGGCGGCCATTGCGCCTCAATCAACTCTGCTCACTAACTTATGTAGATCGATAATTAGAGTTGTGCTTTACAAACACTTGTTCTGACAGCTTTGCCAATTCTCAAACTGGGAACATGAACGGTTGCACTGCCACCCGTGAAATATAATCAATAATTGGGGCAACTCCCAGACCCATAAGACATGCAGAAAAATACATTCAACGCTATTTAACTGAGCAGTGAAGCACTGATAAATGTTGCCTGTGGTTATATGTCGAATTAACCCAGCAAAAAAAATATTATATACTGTGTATATATATATATAAAGATATAGTGGATTAATGTCTACCTAAATATGAATGGGTTACTTAATTGAATGCTTACGTGATGTGTTTTTATTCTGACCGCACTGTCTCCCTGATTACTAATGAAACACTAGCCTCCATGAAACCCAGCTATTTAAACAGGAAGGTGTTGCCACTGTTAAGCTAAGCTTTTAAGACACAGGAACAGCTTCTTTCCAGTGGCCATCACTCTGCCCTTTTTTATTCTTTATATATATATATATATATATATTGTCTTGTTTATTGTAAATTTGTGTTTGTACATTGAGAGCGGAGAGTGGAAACCGGAGACAAATTCCATGTATGCGTAAGCATACATGAAAGCTGATTCTGATTCTGATTAATATCTCCACTGGGCCCCACACTGACATTTCCATGCATTTCACTCCATCTCCATCTGGACAGAATACTGTCTCTGGGAGTCGGATGGAAAGTAGGTAGAAAAAAAATAAAGGAAGAGATGGATGACAGGAGGCAGAAAGTGGAGGAGGGAGACACATCAAAGAGGAGAAGTTTCTCTGGAAGCTGTGGGGAGATGATGAAGAAGGAGAGTCTCCATCAAACACACGAGCTCCCTCTGCTTCAAACGGTCCCGGCGCAGAGGCTGGATGAAACGAGACACCTCGCGCTAAACTGGAGTCCAACTACGCTCCTGGGAGAGAGCGTGGATGTGTGTTTGCATGTTGTTCATGCAGCTGGGTGCTTGGACAGAAGTTCTGTACACTAAGGTGACTGCTGCTCCTTCATTACGCACTTTATTTTCACCAATAGAAGCGCTGTGGAGCATTGTTTATACCCGTCAGGACAACTCCACGGTGCACCTTTAAAGGGCACCACATCATGCCCATTTTCAGTTTCATACTTGTATTTGGGGTTTCTACTAGAACATGTTTAGATGCTCTATAGCTCAAAAAACACAACGTTTTTCCCATACTGCCTGTCTGAACACACCTGTATTTACCGTATGTCTGAAACGGGACGTTTTTGTGCCTGTCTCTTTAAGCCCCCCCCCCTCCTGAAATCAGTCTGCTCTGATTGGCTCACGAGAAAAATATGACGCACCTTTGCAAATGTAGTTCTCAAGGCATAGGTGGAGATAGATAGGTGGGGGGGGGGCGGTATATTCTAATGAGCCTGCATGTGACATAGGAAGGGGCATCAAACCTGATTGGCTAGTTTTCTGATCTAGGCGGCCCACAAAAAACTGACTGAGTCATCGTATTTCAGAGTTGGTACACTCCAGATACCCAAATGTGTGTGCACAAGCACTGAAAAAGTTACTTCTTCACAATGTGTCCCCTTTAAAAGGCACAGTTTGACATTTTGAGAAATGCACTCTCATTTTCTTGCCAGAGTCGGAGGAGAAGACTGATACCACTTCCCTGTCTGTTTGCTAATTTGTGCTTTTTACAAGGACCATTTCCGGTGGCAGCCGGTTCGCCGACAGTGGAACCCGCAGACGGCAGCCTGGCTGCTCCCGGGCCCAGCCCCGTGGGTTCAGTGCCAGGGGCCAGGCCCTGCTCAGCTGTGCAAAAATCGAACTAACGAGCTCTGCCGAAGCCACTGTGATCGATGGACGCCCCGCCTCCGACTAGCCTCAAGAGAGATGTGGCCAGTGCAGAAAATGACACGCACTGAAGTGGGCCACCTCAGAAGAATCACGAAGCTACACATAGTAAATATGCACAGGTTTATGAGAAAATAACCCTGCCTTTTCCCAGTTTCGGCTTGAGACTTCAAATACACTAATAGAGGCTGTGTTACAAACTGGAGGTGTGGAGTTTGAAAGATGTGGGTGTTTATCAGGCAGGGAGTGTCTAATGAAAGACGCAATAAAAGTTGCATAACGGCAAGGGTGTGATCGAGAGTTTTTTTTCTTCCCCGTGTGACTTATTCAAGTCCCAGTTTTTTTGGAAGTGCAGCGCTGAATCGCTGGAGTAAGCTGTTAATATAAGTTGCTATAGTGATGTCCAACAAAGGGCTCTACATATTCTCAGCCAAATGTTCTGGTTCGTTATCTATTTTTCCATCTAATCAGACGCCGTGCTGCAGTCTATGATTTCTAAATTAATGTTATTTCACGGATTTTAAGAAATGTAATTCTATCCTCACATTACAACGTGGAGTTGAACTATCCAATGTTTTAGGATTTTTTTGCTTCTAGCAGTCTGGGCAAATAATATCATCCAATGATTTTGTCTATGATTACCGTCGATGTCATCTTTCACCAATTACATTAAAATATTCCTCACCTGTACAACAGTCAACCTTCTATGTGTTATTTTGCAATCGAATAGCTACCATGATGAAGAGAATTGGTATGCAAATATGTGTGAAGGAAAATTCTTGTGCAGTCTTATTCTATTATAAAGACGAAGCAGTGGTCCGTTTTCCAGGCAATGTGTGCAGTAATCCAAGCAACGAAGCGCAGGATACAAACCCGATTAAAATCCCCTGAACTTCTCTGAAATCACCACGAGTGGCCTACGATGACAACATCCACGGCGCTGGGGAAAAACCCGAGCAGAGTGCATCAAGTTTCGGGGGCCGCTGAAAGCCGAGCGGCGAACCGCCCCGCTGAGCCGAAGCCGGAGCTTGATTGGTTCTGATTAGCGAATAAATCAGACAGGTATCAAATCAAGTCGGGCCAATTGCCTCCTACTCACACCTTGATTAGGTTCATGCACCCAAACACGTCCCCCCCCCCCCGGTTGAGAAACACTCTCTTGCGGACTCACACACACACACACACACACACACGAGAGAGTCTACCCTGTAATTGGCAAACTCTCCGTGCCTCGATCCACGCCAGCTGTAATTAGTGTGCCAGCAACAATGCATGTTTGTCAAAAAAAAGAAGAAGAAAAACACACACACACACGTACACATCCACAGAGCTCAATTCATCCTCTCTTCTGCCTCTGCTGACACCCTTTGATACACCCACCCACACACACACACACACACACACACACACGCGCTATTGAGCCTTCCACGACGCCCGGGGCAGTTAGTATTTACAAATCTGCCGGTTCCTCTGTGAAATCTCACACGTTGCTTTTTCCGGTTTCTGACATTAACGTGGGGAGCTAATTCGTCCCGCTGTTTCCAGCATGTTCAAATTATCGCTGAGCTGGCACAACAGGGGCGCTAGGTCAAATTAGCTCTCGGAGGAGGGAGGAGACATGTTTGTCCCCTTGTTACGGCTGACAGATATAGTCACTTACATTTTTCAATCATTTTAGAAAAAAATAAATAAAGGGTCCTTAATCCGCTAGGGCTTTCACAATACCAGATTTTCATGAGACGATTATCGCGGTCAAAGGAATTCACGACAATGATATAATTGCGATGTTTATAGAACATTTGAAAAGAAAAAAATAATGCCATCAGTCAAATTCATCTCTAGTATTGTATGTTGTGCGTTTTGTCTCTTTTTTTTTTTTTGGCAAATGAACTACACACAAAATATGAGTAGTAGAAGGTGGAGAAAGAGACCATAACTGTGAATACATAGTATGATCATATGTGTATTATTAACATATCAGTATACCCTGTTTGCCTGCAGGGTTGCTAGTGTAGGTACTAAGCTAGTTAGCCGGATATGCTAACGATTGCAGCTCACGTTAGAGCAGAGAAACACAGTTTTGAGTTTTGGAAAAGTTCAAAAATTAAATTCACCACCATCCAAACTCTTTAAATGTCGATTGCTGCTTTTACTGCAGTACCATGTCCACCTCTTCAACATGGTCGTGCTACGGTAACCATTTGCTGTTCTCGGGAGCTAAGTATTCGAAAGCCAAAGTAGCATGTTTTGTCTTTCAAGAGCACATTTGCCCCGCTCGAGTCTGACCTCTTGGTGCTGGAGTGAGGGCGCTGGGCGGCGGCCAGCTGCTGCAGGCCCAGAGTGGGGCTGTGGAAGAGGAGGCCGCCGCGTCGAAGCAGCTTCTGCTTCATGGCGGCCAGGCTGCTCCACTCCTGAACGAACCTCAGCACCTGAGGGGGGGAGAGAGGATGGGAAGGAGGGAAGGGGGGAAGGCAAAACACCTCACTTCAAATTCAATTTCAAGCTAAAACCGGAAAAAATTAAAAAAAGAAAAACACTGGAGCCTTCGTCTTTCAACACAAATTCATAGTTTGGATATTGGGGTAAAATATTTTTGTTGTTTTGCTTTTCAATTTTGGAAAATACACTTTCGAAACAAACAATCTAAACCTGCAGAGCAGAGACACTGACACACATGAGGAGACAGTTTTCCAGACAGCTGAATAAAAACCCATCAAAGCAAGAGAGAGAGCTGTATATGCTTTCAGCCAAGTCAAGGATTCAAAGAAAATCCACTGGCAAAATAACAAATAGCACACCAAGCACCAAGGCCTAATGGGCAATTTAGCTACGTATATTACGCCGGAGAGCTTTTTTTTTTTCTCTCCCCATGGATGATAGCTACTCTCACAAAAAAAAGATTATTTGAGTAAAAACAAACTATTCACAGCAAGGTTTGCTTTGTTGACATTTTTAAAGTGGAATTGTGGGTATTTTGATCGAAATAATACCCATCAAAGGCAGCAGATTAAAATAAGGTAACTAGAGGTTGATATTCCGATGAAGGCACTTGGAAGTGAGCCGAGGGAAAGATCAGAGGTCAAAGTGCTGCAGTATGGTTGGACGTAACGAACCGACTGATCGAGGAAAACCCGGCTCCACAAAGACCGGGTTAGCCCGGTGCAGCTGAAGACTCCGGACAAGCTTCAGAAATATGGCAACAGCTCGCGAGGTCATCAGAGGTCTGCAGAGAGTCGAGGCGCCGGATCAGATGTCAGAAGTCGTGACTGAGGAGGAGAGTGGGATGCCGTTTTCAGCTTCATGTTACTCCGATGGTCGGCCGGGGGTTAATAGGCGAGTATCAGACATCGTGTGGGCGGAAACTGGGAGGGCTTAGATTCATCACTGTGAGGCTGGATGAAGGCAATATTCTGTATAAGTCTTATTGCCAAATAAATAAATAAATCCCATGAAAATGAATGTATTCTATCACGTAATGTTTGTGTATCAAAGCCTGATATATCTCCTTCCTCTGTGCCATAGCGCTCCATTGGTTGTGTAAAAAACTATTACTGAGCCACGTTGTTTACCGGCCATCAAGTCCCTTCATAACCATGAACACACATGTAGTCAATCCCACACACACCATCCTGGAGCACTGAATGTGGATTAATCCGCCGCTAAAAATAGTGCCCAACAAATACGCTATTAACTCCTGTTTGAGTCACGTTTGATGTACAGTGCCCACCTGTTCTAACCTCATTATATATACATTATTCATTCCCTTAAAAAGATTATTCTGATATAATTTCAAATTTTTGTTTGCCTGTCTTTGCTTGTGCAGAGTGCAGGTGAGCTCTCTACCCACCGCCTCCCCTTAAGCTCGCCTGCCCGCTATTGATTTTGATGGACAATTGGAGTGTAAACAAGGGGCGTGAATGATGGGTCGGGGCGCGGATGCAACTCACGCCTGCGTTTTACAAAGCAACATAAACAAGGCGACAGGCCCGGGGTGTCTGTCGGCGGCTCCGGGTTACTGCCGCGGCAGATTGCAGGATTTAATATTGGCCGGGTGGCGCGCGGGGTCGTTTGAGGCGATGATCCGTCTCGTTTAACGACCGCCATAAAGCGGCACTTTCTCTCTCTCGCTGGCCCCGAACCCCCCCCCCCCCCCCACACACACCCCCTCTCTTTTCTCCTTTCCTCCATCACCCCCTTCCCTCTCCCACTACAGGCCCTGCGGTGGTGGAAGTGGGCGTCCGCGCCACCACCAATCCGTCAGGCTCCCAGCGCTGCTCCTCCTCCTCCTCCTCCTCCTCCTCCTCCTCATCATCATCATCATCATCATCATCATGGGTGTCATTAGTTTCACGTGGCTGTAACGCACACATCTGCTTTATAACCCCGTGCAGCCGTGTGCCTCGTCTTCACTGGGTCAGTGGAATTGCCGAGATAGCCCTGCAGACTGCGATATCAAACTAAATTATCTCCTCCAAAATGAAGGCAGCCTCTGGGCCTGCTCGCAAAAAAAAAAAAAACCTCAACTACACTCTTGAGCATATGTAGAATTTTCTGTCATCTTGGAAATTATGTGAAGTCATATGCTTTGATATCTTTCTAATCAATCAAAAGAAAGAAATATTGGCACATTTTACAACCATGTTGAATCCCTCCTCCGAGGCGTTTTCTGCAGTAATGACACATTAACTAGCTACACGCCCCCCCCCCCCCCCTTACATGCACGCCCACGAATATCAAAGCGCCTCATGCGCGCAGACCTGCGTTCGATTTTCCCGGCACTGGCGGAAGGCCTCGGGCAGCTCGTCCCAGTTGGTTAGCTTGATGTCCAGGGGGACGAAGCTCAGGTTCAACGGAGTCCCATCCTAGCACATGAGGAGACAGAGAGGAAGAGGACAGCCTTAAGCAAAAGGATTTGTTACCGCTGCTGCTAATACCACCATCACTCTTGCTACTACTGAGATAGATATATATATATATATATATATATATATATATACACACACACACACACACACACACACACACACACACACACACACATTTTGTTTTTTTAAATGCAAGGAATTCTAAAGGGAAATACTATACATCTTTCCAATTATTCTCAGCATATCAATCGTATTGATATATTACATATTTATGTTTTATTTTATTTGCATTATTGATTAAATGTTCTCTTCTCTTTCTCCGCAAACTGTAAATTCAACTGATAACAAAATTGCAATGACATATTTAAACTCGCATCAATAACACAATTAGCATGGCTGGATACCAGATTGGGTGAACTGGCCCTTTAATTGGAACTATTACAGTTTTCTTTGTCGGGATTTTATCATCTCTACAATCATTTAATTACTCAACAAAAGGAAGAAAAAGTGCTCATGTCTGCACACATAACTTTACCATATGAACAATATAAATGTATCATTTGTATTTGGGGTTTACATGAATTACAGCTCATCACACTGGGACTATAAATGGCACTATGTAATGAAAGCAATTAATCTTAGTAGAGCCAAAATGCTGAGATTTTGATTTATTTGTCTATTCTTTTTAGTGTAAATACCATAAACAGACAGGCTAAAATCACCTCTCAGGGCAGAGAGAGAGATCAACACACTTAGTGTTAACGGTACACAGTGGCACCACTCCACTACACACAGTCCCTTCATGGTTCTTTGGAGGTTCCCGACTCGCTGCTGAGTCACCTTCGTAACCAAAGCGAGTGCCGCTAAGTGAATGACGACGCAGTAACTGTTTCACTTGCCTGGCAAGAATAAATGTCAGGGTAATAATGTGGTTATATAAGAGGGACGGATTGCCAACAAACCTCTCAGATGCTGTCAAATAAATGTCTTAGGGAGAAGAGAGAAGGCGGGTGTCTTTTCTGTTTTCTCATCAGCTGCAACAGGTGGATTTATTTTACTGCTAACATCACCTTCTCAGATAGCAGAAGTTAAGGCTTCTGTGAACTAGCAGGATAAAGTCAAATCCTACCGTGTCGACATAGACATTAGATCATACATACATACATACATACTGTCCTTTCATAGTATAAGTCAAGAATAGCATGATGGTTATTTGACTTCACTATTGTCCATTTTCATGTTTGAACTGTAATCATTTTTGGAAGTGTCTTAAAACTTGCATTCTCTCTACTGACCAGCAGGGGGCGACTCCTCCAGTTGCAAAAACAAGTCCGATTTTATAGAAGTCTATGAGAAAATGACTACTTCTCTCTTGATTTATTACCTCAGCAAACATTGTAAACGTGAGTTTATGGTCTCAATCTCTAGTTTCAAGTCTTCTTCAATACAGCATGATGTTCATTTAGTAAATTAGGGTCCATAAAGCAGAGTATGCTTTAGGGTGGGCTTACTGTGATTGACAGGTCGTTGATGCTACCAGAGCCATAGACTTTGTCTCTAAGTCACTCCTCCATATTCCAAATATGGTAAAAAAAAAAAACATGGCGACGGCGAAATCGACGAACTTGAGGCTTCATAACGGCAGTCCACAAACCAATGGGTGACGTCACGATGACTACATCCACTTCATATATAAAGTCTATGCCACCAACCTGTAATACTTATGACCTTCCCATCGGCCTCAGCAGTACTTGTGTTTAGTAGCAATTAGCAAATGTCAGCATGCTAACATTCAAAACTAAGATGGCAAACGAACGCGGTTAATGTTACACCTGCTAAACTTCAGTCAGCATGTTAGCATTTTGCATTGAGAGCATGTTAGCACACTGACGTTAGCATGTAGCTCAAAGCACCGCTGGGCTCAAGTACAGCCTCGCAGAGACACTAGCATGGCTTTTGACTCTCAGGGGCTAATTCACAAAAGGTTTGCTCGTTTTTTTTGCAGCAGCAGCTTAACCTGCACAAACAAGACAAAGTTTGAGAAGAGGCAGGATGCAATGACAGTTTAAACAAATAACTTCTTCCCTCTCACTCCACTAAAAAAGTACAAATTGCACGATTTTATGGCTATGTTTGCACTTTAATATCATAACGCAAAATCTTTTGTAAATCGGACATTGAGACGGGGCAGATAGCGATTGCAAATGACGCGCAATTCATGGCTCTACAGCGACCGTAATCCATTCTTTGTGCATATGAGAATGAAATGTGTGGAACAGGTTGCGGGTAATAACACACCGTCACTATTGAGAAATGGGAGCCTCGATTGTTATAAAGTCTTACACAAAACTGAGAACAGTAAGAAAGAAAAAGTACAAAGGAAGTAGTCATTTTGAAAATAAACTAAACTAAATCATAGCACCAAAACCGTCACTCTATAATTAAGAGCCAAGGAACCAGGTTTATAGCATTTAATTAGTTAGATTGTGTTCGGCACCTCAACTTGTATTACCTTCAGGTATTTTCAGCCAAGCAATCACATTCCTAATGACTAACTTGCAGAACTTATATACAATTACATCCAAGTTGTGTAATCTGGCCGCATACTCTTTGTTTCGGTTGCCATGGTATTTTTTGTGGTAACCAAGGAGCTCGTTAGTGATCTCACTTGTTTTTTATTCTAATATATGTACACTTTGAAGATAATGCTTCTCCTGTGACAGTATGCATGCATTAGTAACACAAAAATAATGAGGGTTTTGTGAAGAGTATAAAGAAAACGGCATATACCCACAAGAATGCACCTTGCTGTGATTATAGGTAATCACAGCGCCGCAGCTCGGAGGTATCTGCAAAATAAATAATAATAAAGAAAATGTTCCAGCTTATTACTGCTCTATTAGCACTAACTACTGTCAATTTGAAGGCCGAGAAGCCACTTACACTCGGTGTTAACTTCACTCGGGCGACAGCGACTGTGCCAAACATCAGGGACGTTTTTTACAAGAAAGAGGCCAAGCAGAGAATTTAGGTAAAAGCTGCAGTACGGATTTCGGCTAACCCAGAGCTACTTGAGCCACGGACACGGTGGACGGAGAGAGGACAGGCAGGAGAAAAGATTAAGTTTAAAGGTTAATACCTGCCGGCAGCTGACACAGGGATTTGAAAGATACAAATCAACATTAGGACGGTTTTTTTTTTTTCTTTCTGTGCCGTACCCTCGGTGCACAGAGGCCCACGTGTTTATTTGGATTATGGCAAAATAAATATCATGGAGACTCAGGGGAGCGGCGGAGCGGGTTGTGCTGTTGCAGCATGAAGCAGGAATTAGAGCCTTTCTAGATGAGAGTGAAAAGAGGGGCACTATCCTCCCCATTGACAAATAATGTTCCACAACGATGAGTATTTAATATTTCATTGGGTTATAATGAATTAAACTCAGATTTCATCTCAGGTATGGGACAAATAGGACAGGATACGGAACTGGCACAAATAATAATTCTTTAAAAACCAAAAAAAAGGTTAATAACTTTTCATATTTCAGGCATACATGTATGTGTTACATGTATATTGACAGGGTTACTTTAGCAGGAAACCAGATTAATTATTTTTTAGAAGTTAAGTAGCATTCAGTGTCACATTTTTTACTGCACAGCTCTCATTTAAAGACATCTGCAAGCTCAAGCTAGCTACATATATGGAATTCCAGCGATAAAAGGAAGCTGCTAGCATAAATAATGCTAACAAGGCTACATACAGTTAGCGCTTGCAGGTCGTGAGAAATTAACTGAGAGTTTGTCCCAGACCATCGCCAGGTGGCATGGCTTAGTAGCACAAAAGCCCCCTTCACACGAGTAATGTTAGCATTAAAAAAAGGGAGTGACGTTAGCATGTAGGAATTTTCTGTTTGTTTGCATGTTAAGCGCATATAAACGCCCTTATTCTGTAAATTTGTAAGGATAGCGTGAACTTGCTGTGGTTTACTGTCGAAACAAACCCGACACTAGACACAAAAACTATCCACCAGCTTATTGAAATCCAGGGCTCAGACAAGACCGCTAGATGCTAATAGCAATGTGCACTCTGAGCTAACAGAAGTTCCCTTTTTGGGATATTATCCTATAACTTTTACTATAATTCTTGCAGTTTAACCCCTGATGTTTATCTCCAAATATTTGTTGTAGATGCTATCGTCTATAGATTTTTATGGATTTTCATGGTGTCATTTTTATTGAGTATTTCAGTGTCATGGCAACATATTGAGTACCCGAAAATATAGGGAGTCACGGGAAAGAATTTCAAAATAATAAGCACAACATAATGCATAATGACATCATGAACCCCACCCTTCAGCTACGCCTGGTGTTGACATGACACAAACCACCCAGTGACTCCTTGAATAAAACAACAGTCTGATGTGCAGAAAATGGACATAAAACTCCTAATACTCTCAATATTTGTCATTCCAAACCCCCGGTGACAAATCATCCTCTGATTGTGCACTGAGCGGCCCCTTGTGAGACTTCTTTGCCTGGTCCAGGATTATCCCGATGTGACAGCTTTCCAGCCAGAATTCCGACAGTTTATCATTTAAACGAGAGCGGGGGACATTTATCTCCGCAGCTTATCGTCTCAGCCACGCGTCCGCAGCCACTTCTATTGCCGGTCTACTGCCGCCAGGGTAATATTCCATTGGTGATTCAGTTCAGCTCTCCGGTCCTCTCTATGTAAAACCCTCTTGTCTCTTATCCGCGTTAGCGGGGAAGGAATCTGATCCCTCATGAATGAAACAAAAGGGCGGTAAGTATCACAATCCGATCAATACAGTCTGTCGGCGAAGTGGCAGTCAAGACGAGTGCTAAGAATGCACGGCAGCGTATTCAGAGTCAGAATGGGGCTAAAATATAGTTTGTCTTTGTCTAGAGTGCAGGAAGCACCACAAACGTCAACGAAAAAAGCCCCTGAAAGGACATTTTACATGATTATCTGAATGAAATACCAGGAGTCTTCACACAAAAGCTGAGAGGACGCCTGCAGTTTGTTTAAAACATAACATGATTGGTTGCTGTAGGTACAAACTGTCTCCGCTTCCTTTTCTGGCTCAGTGCCGTCGTTGCTCTCTCGGTCAGCTCTTTCAAAATGGGCCGACCGATGGAGCTCGTTAGGGGTTTATCTACAAATTTATGAGCGGCGTGCGGTGCTCCGTCACTGCTGCCAGTGTTGCCGTTGCTCATTGCTTTTTGAACAGAGCAGCAAGATGTTCAATTGTTTTTTATGTTTTGAGCAATGTTTGTATCCATTTATTTTACACTGTTAGGTATGTCAAAAGCACAGAGAACATAATATTGAAGGGGCACTCTAGTGATTTAGTACTACAGTATGCTTCCATAGAGTTGGGAGATGTGCAAAATACATTTAAAAATTCGATGCCGCAGAGGCCAAGATATATATAAGACTTTTAGTCTCCAGCTTATGCAGCGCAGCCCACATATTTTTTCTTTCACGATAATGCACTATAATAAGTTACATTAATGTTATTTGCATTCTTAATAGTGAAATCACCCGTTATAAATCAAAAGGAACACTTCCTTGTTGCTGGGAAACAAAAGGTGGATGGGTCAAGCTCAAAAACAACACTTTATCCTACATCTCCCATAATGCAACAAGACCCTCTCTAATTTGTAAACGCCCATGTCTGTCATCCCCACGTTGTAATGAAGGCTTTCTGTTTAAAAAATGTCTTCAAGCCAATGCCAAGGTTACCCTGATGACATCACTATGACATCATCAGGGTTATTTTCTCAGACTTGACAAAAGCTCCTCCAGACTCTCCAAATGTATTATGGAGCTACTATCACAGGCTTGAGTACTACTTCCAGTTACAAGTAAACTGAACTCCATATGCAAAATTGGTGCACTATGCCTTTAAATATATATAAATAAAAGAACATGAATGGATTGGGAGAGCTTCTCTTTCCCCTCCTGTGACTCCAACAGGCTCTTGTTCCTCTGGTAACAAGACAGGAGGCAGTCAGGGTTAATATCAAGCATCAAGGTTATAGTCGGTAATTTCATGAACCTATAATGACACGACGGAGCATGCTTTTCAAGTCCATCAAATTGCCGCTTGTAACAGACCAATTTGAGCTCTTTCAAATCACCATTACCTTCATTCTTAAACTCCGACCTTCTTAATGTTGCCCGCGACTATCTTCTCACATCTGTCCCGTTTGCTAATTGGCGACGTGTGACGAACTGCACGTCCCCCGTTTATTTTCAATCGCCGTATTGTTGTTTTGCAGCTCTATCTTGATAAAGAGATCTTGATCTCAGTGAGACTTCCCACTCCCCAAAAAATAAAAGAACTGCTGCTTTGTTCAGTGTTTAGTTGAATGTGACAGGAACAAGCTGGTGAGGAGCAAAACATCGAGTGGGTACATGCCCTTTAAGTTTTACTTATTCTTACTGCTTTGAGACCCGACATAAACACCATTGCATCAGAGGCTTCCGACTTTCATTTAAAAAGTAAAAAGAGAGATAGTAGCTTCAAATAGCTGCACGAATAACAGTTTGAAATGGAATAGCATGGGTCATGATTTCAGGCATTGTTTCATACTAAAAGAAAAGAGGAGCATCATTACGACATCTGGCTTTCTCTGAATGGAAGAACAAATTAAATTCATCACTTAGTGCGAGCACGTCGTGTTCACCACCAACGGCGACTTGAGTTTGTAGACTCTGTGAGGACGGATTTGGTGAATGTGGCCACACTTGACCTGAGAAAAAAATAAATATCACGTAGAGTGGCTTTACAGATGAAATCCAATATATTTTTTGTTGTGTAAGTGTGCGTGGCTTTCAGTAACGCTCAGTTAACACTTTCTTTCCCCATTCGTTTCAGGCCTCGCGGCAATACAATGTGTGTAGATATTTGTTTTCTTCATGTGGTATTTTCTTTTCTTTGGCCCGGATTCAAATATTGCACACTAGTTGTTTTTTTACTCTGGTCTTCTCCTCAGGCAAGAATGTGGTTTACTTAAGGAAAAGTGAAGGATGTTGATACTGTACAATGAAAAACCTGTTGATGGGAGTTATTGAAGGTAAATTAAAGGAGCAGTGTGTAGGATTTAGTGGCATCTATCAGTGAGAACTACATTGGCCTTCAAGTAACATAAAAAAACATGTTGTAAGGTTGTTTTTTTTAGGTAAACAGAAGTCACACGAGAGGGAGGAGCTAAGCACAACCAACAACTCTGACATTATTGCCAGGCAACCAAAATGTTACAATGAACTTTCATGAAGTGGAAACACACTGTGAAAGGGTTAAAGCAGTAAGACGGGCAACGCCTTGGTAGCGACCAATCACTGTGTAGCCCCGCCCTAAAGCATCCCCTGCTTTATGGTCTGTTTGACTCTAAATGGACCATAATGTACTAAATGAACATCATGCTGTATTGAAGAAGACTTGAAACTAGAGATTGAGACCATAAACTCATGTTTACTGAGGTAATAAATCAAGAGAGAAGTAGAGTCGTTTTCTCATAGACTTCTATACAATCAGACATCCGAGTCTAACCGTTATCCAATATGCACAATCAAACGGGTAGATGCGGTACCTTGGAGTACAGATATATCCGGTCTGTGTACTGGCTGGCACAGAACTGCAGGCCCAGGTAGGCGGGGCCGGCGCCGCTGGCGTCGTCATCATCAGCATCGGTGGACGGAGACGCCGCAGCTCTCTGTTCTGCGGGCAGAGAGGAAGGAAGGAGGCCAGCTAATATCTCACTGAGTATATATTATTGGCTCATTATTGGCTTTCACAGCTTTATTGGTACCTCGGTTTGCTCCTCTGGTGACGCAGCCGCATTAAACTCCGGCAGCTTTTCCACATTTATTACACGGAGCACAATATTGAGGAGATATGACATTTGTAGCACATCATTAAAATGTGTACGCATACTTAGTGCTCGATATTTAGCTTTATTGCTTTCAAACACTTGATTATAGAATCGGAAATGAAAACAGTTGAGTCATTATCTTTGACATTTACATATAAATAGGATTGGAAGTCGACTTTGCTTCTTGCCATCAACGGTTGATATAACAACCAACCTACACGTGGAGGTCGAAACATTTCCTGTTTTATGTTTGAAAGCAGCAGATTGTTTTGAACGGCTGGAAGATGAATATTGAAAAATATAAAAATATAAGACTGATATCTTCAATTACGCTTGATGTTTTTTTTAAAGCTAGTGAGTTTCAATCATTTTGAATGTGCCTCATCGTCAACAGTGGACAGAAATGAGCATGGAGTAAAGACAGAAAATTGGACCTGATTGAAACACTCGCACCTCACGCTGGTTACTGGTCTTAGCGTCAGTTTCTGAATAACTATCAGGTGACAGAATGAGCCGTGCATTTGTGGAATCACGCTTCATTTGTGCTCTACAACACCTCCCTCTAGGTTGACGTTTGGTCCAACACACAGGCGCCGGGTTCAATTTTTAAGCAAATAGGCTATTTTTCCCGGCGTGTCGAGCTGCGCCTTTAATGTTCTGTGAAAGCCCGCTTCTTTGACAGAAACACCCCAATTTACTCCTCACGTTTGTCTCTCAGGAATATGCTGAACAGCAAGGTGGGAACGCAGCGAGGGAGGGAGGAGAGACGGAGAGCGAGTGATAAAGTGACGGTCGCAGAGAGGGAGAGGGTCATTAATGTCGACCATGTAGCTCGCTCATCCTGCCAGCATCTAGCAAGAAAAGGTCAGCCGGTGGGAAATGAGAGCGCCGCTGCTCGACCACGCTTCATTTAGACAATGACCTATAACACTCTGATAATACTTGCCTTAAATCACTTCGCATGGCCAGTTGTCTGCTGGGCCCGCGAGACTGTCCATTCGATGTGCTAATGGGGGGGGGGGAATACTGAAGCGGGCTGACGTCTGTGACACAAGACTTTTTTATTACAGGCGCCACCATGTACCTGGTGGTCATGGGACAGAATCGGCTTTGGGAATTTTTTTTCCTAATTACGAGTTCTGGGATCTGACGTGGACACACAATGTTCTGCCAAAGTTGGTTTATTTCAAACGACAGATCTTTTCTCTGTGCTTTTCTCACTGGTTTGCAGTGGGCGGGGTTTAGTAAGCCCTAAACAGACACAATTCACTCATTCTTTTAATATTTAATTTCGAAATCCCAACTTAATTATTCCGTTATCCTTCGAAAACAAGCTTTGTTATCTAAAACTAGATCATTAATTCGTTTTCACAAGAAAACAAATGGTTGTTTGATTTTTATTACTTAAAATGTTGGGGTCAAATCATCCAACAGTAACTTCATTCAAACGGCACAGATCGAGCCGGTGGTGATGGACTTGGTTGAAATAGATGAAGCATACATGCGTGACTACGTTCTGTTTTCAAAATAAGGTGTTAACAAGGGTGTATGCAAAATACATACATGGAAATAATAAACTTGAGCTGAAAATGTACAAAGAAACAATAATGTCCCTTTCGGGCTTCCATAGCATCAGGCCTTTAGTTTACAGTCTTACATTAGAGACAGGCTTTTATTTCTGTTTTACCTGCTGTGTTGATATATTCAGCATCAACTATATTTCCACATCACAGCACTACTATCATCTAACACTCACCACTACTACTTTTATGATCAGTAATCTACCTTCATTGAAACTCAGTACTTCCTGCACAGATGGCTATTATTTGAGACGTCCGCTTTGAATTGAGAATTTACCGTAGTTACATTCCTGCCGCTGGTTTGCCTAAAATTTGCGTTGCAGTTTGATGCTAAAACTTTTTTTTTGTTTAAAAAGGTGATATCATCACGTTAACTCATTTCCTCTCCTTGACCTATCCTGAACAATGTCCATATTTTTCATTTTTATGTTTGCCGCCCTCATAGGTGCAATTTCCCTGGGTCTGGTACACGCTGTTCTGATCTCATCACGGATTCAGCTGGAATGGGCCACGCAAAAGCATTTTGCAGGACACTTTTTGCATTTTACAAAATCCCATCTATCTGTCCTTCTACATCTGTAATGAAACCTAGCAGCTCTGCAATGTGCACCCTATATTTGTTGTAAGCAGTTTTTTTTCCCCCCCCTTCCCTTGTTTGCAGTGGAGGGAACGCGCCAGCTGCATTAAGTGGGCCATTTAAACGATGGGGGCAATTCATCTTACAAAGCCGTCTTATTAGACTGTCACTTACACAGTATGAACAGTGCCTTCAAAACACCCCAAAGGATTTATCTGTTATTTTACTGCGAGAAAAAGAAAACAACGCCTAATTGGACTGAGTCATCTCATCTTCTGCAGGATCGGGGGGGGGGAATAAAAAAAGATATGGGAAAAAAATAAAACATTTCCAACTGCACACTTCAAGTGTGAAGAGATTTGGTGCAGCTGATGCTGCTGCAACGTTTGAACTAACATAAAAGGAAAAAAAAACTTGTATCCATGTTGGAATGTTTGGGTCATGCAGATAGATGAAGAGACAGACAGTAAGGAGAGAGAGACGGAGAGGTAGAGGAGGAGTGATTGCCTGTCTGTGCTGTGAGGAAAGTAATCTCAGAGCAATCAAGAGGTGGGGGCGGCAGACAGCTCTGCGGTTTGCCTTCTAAAACCACGGGCAGGTAGAGGAAAATCATTAGGCGCCGCTTCTGACCCCATAGGTCACTTTTATTAGACAACCGCTGTGTTTTGCACTAAACCCACGCTGCCTGAGACACAGTGGCAAAGGTATGCAACGAACAAACTGACTAACCATCAACAGGATGGATGGATGGATGGGCAAAGACAGATATGCAGGCAGGCAGACAGATAGACAGACAGAAAGATACACAGCTGCATAGACAGATAGATGGAATGGACAGAAAGTTAGACAGATATAGACCGATAAAAAGACGACAGATAGAAGATAGACAGATAGATTGATAGCTAGCCGTCTGTCTGGCTATCTGTCTATCTATACAGACAACATAAATTAGACAACAGATAGCTAGACAGATAAAGTTAGCTGTATAGACACAAAGATAGACACATAACTATTTATCTATTTAGCTAGTTAGCTATAGCTGGACAGATAGAAAAACAGACAACAAAACGATAGACATAGCTAAGGTAGCTACAAAAGACAGAAAAATAGACGACAGACAGCTAGCTAGTTAACTAGCTAGTTATATACACAGAAAAAGATGAGAGCATGATAGACAGTTGGCTACATAGACCGGAAAAAACACAACAGCTAGCTAGCTAGAGAGTTAGCTAGCTCGCTATATAAACAGAACATGACAGGCAGACAGGCAGAGAGAGAGCGAGACAGATATTAGTTGTCTCCAGGGAAAATAACGTGTCTAAAGGGGAGGTGGGGGGCCAAGTTGGCATCCAGCAGTGTCTCTTTAGGGCTGCCATTTCTGATCGACAGTGAAGCTTTTATCTCTCCCCTAGAGTCGGTCTAAATAGAGGGTTTTTAAAAAATAAGAAAGCGTAGCCTTTCGCTCACATTTAGTATTTCTTTGCCTGTGAGTAAGGTGGGTGGGGGGCAGCACAGGTAGCCACGGAGATGGGAAATTAACCACTCGACAATCTCTGGCCACTAATAGATGTCAGGGTGTGTGTGTGTGAGGCTCTGAAAGGAAAGGAATCGGTCAAGTTGTTACACACAGATCTTAGGATGTTAAAGGCTAATAGGGGTTGATAGCTTGCCTGTTAAATGGCTTGTGCAATATTCCTTCCGATGTTAAGTATTCTACGAAAAGGCTTTAAAAACAAAATAGCCCTGAACTGCCATCAGCTCAGTTTCATCCTTCGGTAACTCTGACCCAATATGCCTGCACGATTTCAGAGGCAACACCCAGGTCACAGGCTTTTCTTAGACTCTGCTAGTCTGGCAATTTTTTTTTTCTTCATATTGCACACTGTGTAATTAGTTCTTTGTAATTAGCGCAATTTATTGCTTTGCGTATCCCTTTGAGACGCAACTACTTGAACACAAAGGTCTTAATTTGCAATATTACACACTATGTAATTGGGAATTTGTTTCTTCACATCCCTCGGAGACTTGCAGACATGTACACGTGTAACCAGAGTGGACGGGGAAAGCAGGTTGTGTTTCAAGGATAAGCTGGTGTCGGGGGGGGGGGGGGGGACTTGTACCTTTTATGTAATTAGACCTCAGTCCACTTTATTAAAAAAAGAAACAGACAATCAGAAGCTCATCAGTTGCCCTACCGGACAGCGATTGAACCCGAAACCCTCGTGTGTATGTCAAGCTGCACTCCGGAGATAAGTGAAGTTTTACTCAATATCTCCTGTAGCTTCCTGAGTGCAGAAATAGGCAATAACCCCAACTAGATACTAATAATAGTAAGCATAATAATGGCCAGCCCCATATGGAATGAGATCTAGTCCCTTATTGGTCTGAAGTGATGATATTAAACAGGATTACATGGGCAGGTGACAATGCGGCACTAGCCAATTTCCCTAGATATGAAAAGGAGAAGATTGCAGGTGGGATTACTCTATGTGTGTGTGTGTGTGTGTGTGTGTGTGTGTGTGTGTGTGTGTGTGCGTGCGGGGGGCACCGCCAGCAACATGGTCGCCTCGCTCTCTCTGATTGTTTACCTTTGAGCTGCTGCTTGTCCTCCTCCTCTGCTTCTCCCAGTTTCTGTTTGCCTTCATCCTCCTCCTCCTCTCTCTGTTTGTCTTGGCGTGGTTTTGGACTCCGGCCTTTTCCCCGGCTGAGCTCCGGCTCGCTGTCGGAGCCGGAGAGGACTACGCACGCCTGGCCCCGTTGGGTCGCGGGGGGTTGCTGGGGCCCGGGTGGCTCTGAGCCAGAACAAAGAGAGGGAGGGAGGGAGAGAGAGACAGAGAGAGAGATGAAGACGACTTTATTGGCCGAGCCGCACAGAGTAATCAGACTTTGAGGAGTTTCATTCCCTGGCGAGACATCCATCATCTGAAGAGTGTGACAAAATGACTGCTGACATGAAAGTAAAACTCAATATGGCTCATTAGTGGTGTTATTAGCTATCATAAGTCCTTTACTGACGACATTATAAGATGCGATCGTGAAAAAAAACAGATAGACGTGGGCAAGGGGTGTAGTGGAATGTGTAAACGCATACAACTGTGCATTGCTCAGCAGCACGTTGGCAGTGAAGCAGAGGGCTGCAGATGAAACACCTGCCACACACAAACACCCCCCCCCCCCCCACCACTTTCCACCAGCTCTTCAGATCAGACAGTCAATGTAATTTGCCGTGAGAATAAATTACGTTTGTGTCACATTGTTTTGTTAATTGCCCGCCTGCATCATGTGCAATTAAACCTAAACAAAAATAATTGTCGATCGCTGCATCTGCGGTGGCGCTCCAGCTGGGCCGCGGTGAGTGGCGTTCAAACAGCTGATGGTGGCGGAGCGCCAATCGCAGCTCTGGCTATAAAAAAAAAAAGAAATCAGCCAACGGCACCTTGTGGACCGGCTAGCGAGCTCGTTCTGCTGTCAGACCATTTTGGGTGATTTTCATTCACACCGATTGTTAGAATTCTGTGAAGGTCAGGCAGAAATCTAAGCCACAAAAATGTTAATGGATGCAAGGATTATGCCGTTGCCATTCATAGACTGCATATTATTTCAAATTTAAGCAGCGTTCTGAGGCACAAACTGAGGGTTCACGAGTACGAGTACTATTTTCAAGGTAAAGCTTACGGACATATTGGCTGCTAAAGGCATGAAGACAATTATCTATAACCGAACGTAAATGTCACTTTCAGTCTGAACAGAACTTCTTACAGAGAACTGCCACGTTTTGTATTTTTCTCTCTCCCCCAACTTTCCTAGTTAAATATAAATCACATCCTCTTACAGCATTTGTTGAACTTGAGGTGTGAAATCTAACAAGACAGTAAGTTGTGAGACTCTGGGACGCAGAAGGCTAATTAGTGATCCTGCCTCTCCGTGGCTTGTTTCCTCAAAAGGCCAGCCTCTAGTATGCTCCCCACAAATGTCATCCGAGTCTCCAGGGTTCCTTGCCCCACCACTGCCCCCCCTCCCTTCGCTAACAAGCCGAGTGAGACCGCAGAGAGACGGCTCAATTTGTGTTAAGCTGTCCCCGCCGAGGAAGACGTTAACGGGGGAAATCCTACAGGGCCGTGCCGCGACTTTACCAGTCAGCCCCCTTGCCCCCCCCCCCCTCCAATCAGGGCCCCATTTATGTCTGTAGTGGCTTGATTAGGTTCCAGAATTGAGTCTCGATTCCCGGCGCACAAACATACTACGACACACGAACCCTACGTGTGGGCCGGTCGTGAGCTTATGAGGAAAAAAAATTTAAAAAAATCACACTTCTTTTATTGCAGCCTGCAGGGAGTGAAGCAGCTGCAGCCTGTGGCACAAAAGAAAAAAAGAAGAGGACAAGAAGAGGAAAGTACTTTGTCCTCACATGAAACATTTGTTGTTAAATGCTAAAAATCAGCCAGAAAATAAAAATCTGGACGATGACAGAGTGCTAGCCGAGAGATAACCAAATTGCCCTCTTCCTTTATACTCTCTCACGGCAGGTACCGCGAGACAAATTGCTGGTCTGCTGGTGAAAAAAAAAAGGAGCTGAAGGATTTGAACTGCCGCCCACGCTCTCCTGCCCTGAAAAAAAGCTGCAAACACAGGGAGCTCAACACCGCTGATTTAACCTGAGAGCGCGCAGTTGAGCCAGATCTGTCTCGGCGTTTACTGGCTCTAAAATACACTTCGGGAGAGCGTTCTCAACGAAGCCCACCTGAGATGTCCGACCCCGTCACATAAAAGGAGCTTATAATGCGTGACAGTTTGATTAAAAAACGGTTCTTGATTACTCGGGGATGTGGCACAACAGTGATTCAATTTGTGTCCAATTAATGAAGGCTGTTGTAATTTGGTAAGTTCCCCTCCCTGCCGCACAGGTAATAGAGTGCCAACACCTTCAGATGAAGAAGACTTTATAAAAGCAAACACAGCTTCCCACCAAAGATATCTCCAAAATTAAAAATAATTTAGATTTCATAATTTAACCATCTGCTAAAACCCCTCCACGGAACAGCAATTGTTGGATCCTAGTTTAGCAACCGTGGGCACGGCGGGCCTGTTAAGGATTTGTCAACATGCCAAAGTGGTGTTCAAGCGGCTGAAGAAAGAGCTATACTCTATATATAAAAAGGGTTTATGCCCTTTTTTAGCTTTTCAAAAGGCAAAAACACAAGAGCAAAGGTGTAAGGAATGATTAAACAGTGTGTTCACCTGCTCAAACGTAAGCTATGTTAGACATTAGCATGCCCGGCTAACTACATTAGCAACCTAGCAAGGCTAAGGCTAACTACATTAGAAAAATAACTGTTCAGGACTGAAACATGCACTGCATGGGGACCAAATTACTTCAAAGTTTAGGCTAACGTTAGCTTGCTTTTTTTGGTATAGGAGAGTTTGCACTGTTACAGCTATTCCGGTCAAACCTCTAGCTAAAGATATCGTAGGGTTAGTCCCCAACCTCAGAGAAAGAACAAAACTGCTTTTATAAGACATTTTCTACGGGTTTAATCGACTGGAGAGAATGCTGAGTTTTGCCTGGGACATGTAGCTTTAGCTTTAAGTCTTTTAGCATGACATCATTTATGGGGCTGTTAGGTGCATATATAACCTTTCACAGGGTTCTCGTTTTGGGACACTTAAAGTGACTTTTAGGACCATTTCAAATAACTCACAGATTTAATGATAATTAGCTAACGCTAGCTAGCTTCAGCCAGAAAAAGAGAAGCTGCTTTTGTTTACTTCGGTGTGAAATTGGAGACCCATTGATACCAAAACTTTGTATGAATTTTGAGCGGCAAATCTACCGCCATTATCACCGCATGTGCAGTTCCTGGATGGAAAAGTTTAGCAGGAGTAGCAACGTTAGCTAAGGGAAAGGGGCTTAGCGAAGGGTGAATTTGTCACTTTGACATTTGGTAGCCAGCTTCAGACCTGCCTTCAAAACTTTCCATCCTAAAAATCGCTCTTATTTCCTGCATCTCATTCTGGTACATTTCATTCTGGTACAAGCGCCTCATGGTGCAACAGACTAATATCCCTCTGCATGCTGACTTATTCTTCCTCTACAGCTGCTGTTTTGTTGTGTTTTTGCCATGCTGCTCAAATCCACAGATAAGTGAAGGCCACTTCTTCTGTTCCTTTACTTTGAATGCGACACCAGTCCGTGCGGCTGTGATTCTCAGCAACGCGTCTTAATGCCGGTGACAGAACTTTCCTTCCTGTCGTTGTGAGAAATCGTCGCTCTTGAAGGGATAACATCTCTCATGTTGCGCCCCGGAGCTGATTATTTTCTTACATTGCCACGCGCTGAGTACTGCGGTGCCAAGTTGAGAGATATCTCCATAAATACCGTTGTTACTTCTCGCCACACTCTTGTCATTTACAAATTTAGCAGGTTGTTAAATTCCCCGTCTCGCGAGCTGACACGGCCCCCGCTGCTGTGAATGTAGAGTGGCGCTTGTGACAAAGAAGAGAGCGTGATTGCTGAATAGTTATTGAGCATCTGCTGAGAATGAAATGGGGGGGATGGGGGGGGAGGTGAACTCTGTTAAAAAAATGTGTGTGCGTGTGGGCGAGCGCGTGGGTGTTTTTGTTTTCTGGTGACGCTCAGAGGCCGAGTTGCTGCTTAGTTTGAACTGTTGAGTGCACCATCCTCACTTCCACTGGACTGAGCTGTAAACGAACCCTCAGCGGAGCCAATATTTACCCTACACTTACACTAAATATAGATCCTGGATTTGCATAATGACACTTGAGAGTCATTAAAGTACACTGGTGAGAAATTGAACGTCATAACTGTGAACGCGTATGTACCGTGCATGTGTTTATGGCGAAAAATAATGGCCTTCATGGTGCGTCAATGCTTCCTTCCTCTTCTCCTTTAGCACAGGGTACAATGGTCCATCCTTTATGAAAGGAAAGGAGACGCCGCCTTCCCACAGTTCCTTGCGGCTGCAGCACTGCAGACCCGCGTAAAGTGGGCCGAGGTGATTTAGTCACGTATCTTTGCATTCCTTGAATCCATTTACAGTGCAATTGTTAATTACCTCAGCAGCTCTGCGGTTCCCTTTTAACTGTTAGGACTAGTTTAACCGTTATAAAAAGGAATAGTTCCGTTTCTTTTGCTGAGAGTTGGATGAGAAAATCGCCGCTGCTCTCCTGTCTGCATTGCCAGCAACGCTGATTAGCTTAGTTTAGCACACAGAGTGGAAACGGGGGGAAGCAGCTAGCCCGACCTAAAACAGTCCTTACAGCATTAGAATAAAAAAATAAATTAAGTCAGGTAGATAAAACTTGTGCAAACAAAATGCTTTAAGTTATGAGACGTGATGTATGGACAGTATGTAGTGTATTTATGAAGCCAACAAAGAGCGTCAAACAAAGCCCCTCATTTCCTCTCAGTATACACCGTCCCAGCCTGTCACGGCTGTTTTGTTGGATGAATCATCTTCGCCAACTGTTGGCGTTTTGATTTTTTTAATTTCGTTTTTTTCTTCCTCCACTTGATTTTCAGTGGGAGGCTGTGTCAGAATCCGATTGCGCTTGGAATTATAGGTTTTGGCTGACTTTAACTCGCAGGTGCTCCGCTATCAATACCGCCGCTTGAATATCACTGCTGCTGAAATGGCATTGCATTGTTGGATTTTTTTTTTTTTTTTTTTCTTTCTCTGAGCCGATGTGATGCACCTCAGACACGCCAGGTCATAACGAACGAACACCCCCCACCCCCACCCCCACACTCTCCTTTGCAGGATACAATCATAGGCTGTCAGAGATATCAGCTACAGCCGGCTCAACTTTTCCCAACTTTGTGCGAGACGTTTGCAGCAATAGTAGGAGTCTGTTCTCTCTGCCTCTCCCTCAGCTTGACAGGTGAGAATTACACTGAGTCCTTGTCATTGCAGAGAGAGAGAGAGAGAGAGAGAGAGCGAGAGAGAGAGAGAGAGAGAGAGAGAGAGAGAGCGCGCGCTATTTCAGCCTCCATCTTTCGCTATCACGCGTCTCCATCTGGTGAAATCTGTAATGCTGTTCAAAAGTATTATGTCAACAGACTGGTGCGATTGATATTGACAGGGAGGGAAATACAGAGATGACTGGATTTCAGCATCAGGTGCAGAGATGATGGAAATGTCGTTGTTGTTTTTTTCCCCCGTCCTTGATGGAATCGGGTTTGTTAATAATTGGGCGGTAATCCTACCTGAGCGGACGCCGGCGGAGGGAGAGTGCGGGAACTCGCACATCTCACAGTACGGCAGCAGGCTGCTGTTGGAGTAGGTGCAGGCCCCGCAGCTCCACCTCTCAGCGGGAGGGCGGGGCTCCGCCCTCAGGCTGGGCCTCTTCTGCTGCGGGGAGAAGTCCTGGTCGGATGAGAGCGAGGTCTGGGACCAGGACTCTTCTCCTTTGTCCTCTCTCTTTTCAGAGTTTGTCCCACTCTCTGAGGAGACGGAGGGAGAGGTTTCCTCATCTTCCCTTCTCTTTCTCTTCCTCTCCTTGCTGCCGCCAGGCGAGAAGAAGGTACGGATGTCGTGCTGCTTCTCTTTCTCAAACTGAGAGAAAGAAAAAGACAATGACATTTGTCACAAGGCATTTATTTCCCCTTCTGATAAAAATACAAAGCAACATTTCCTGATGCTAAGTCGCATCTTTGGTTACTCAGGACATAATAATGAGAAACGCCTGATGATGAAATATCGATCACATGTTTTGCACAGCTGTTTCAATAGGCCAAATTCCCTCTGAAATCCACTGCACATTAGTGAGATCATTTCTATGAGAGAAAGTGCAAAAACAAACGCACAGATGGAGCATCTTCTGCCACACTGACAGTCCCTGAGACTCGTGACTGCTCCGACTGGCAGCGATAAACTTGTTGATCATGTTAAATATAATACGTGTTGATTGATGTGGTGATTGGACTTTTATTTTGTTCTAGAGAAAGTGTTTGAGGTAATGGGCTTGAATTCTCCCAAACCTCAGACATATTCATTATTATTTAAATTTAGACGAGCTCTCATGTTCTTTCTTGATTACTGCACGCTACTTCATCTATTTAAAAAACAACCTTGAAGCGCTTGGACAGCGATTCCTAAATATGACGGCGATCACTCCGCTCCACACCGCGTCTTAAGTTTTCAAAACTGTAATATTTCGTAAGTGTGCGATTATTCACAATCTGTGAAGTGAAGGCATGGCTTGTTATGAGTGACAGTGTTCCTTTTCACCAAGGTCTTTCTCCTCAAACGGCAACTAAATTATTAAACTTTCTGCCTCCTCATAAGAAAGCTTCCACAGATATTGAACATACAGACTCAATAAAATAAATAATATGGTATTCATCTGAAAATATGAATACCGGAAAAAAAAAAGCTGACTCACATGAGTGAAGAACACGTCGTCTTTGGCATCTGCCGTGTTCCCCTCCACCGGCAGCACCATGTTGCTCGGCGTCCACGCATCGGCGAAGTTGAGGAACTCCCACTTGTCCCGGTCGCCCTCGTCGGCCTTCAGGTACCCCTTCCTGCCGTTCAGGGTGCTGCCGGTCACCGTTTCCTGTGGGCGCGTGGGACGTTCAGTGCTCTTTCCTTCCATCTTTCTCTTTTTTAAAAGCATTTCCTTTCGCTAATCACGCATTCTGTAACGCGCAGTATCATAAACACGAGGAACACTATAACTTTAGTAAAAGCGGTTTTAATAACTAAACCTGAAGACGTCATCTTTTCTCTTTTCAAAGCCACAAGACTCCTTTGACAATAACAGTAATTTAACGACGCAGAGCACGGGAGTCGCTGGTCTGCTGCTGTGTCCATCGGTTAGCATGTTATTGTGTGACTTTGGTTAGTCCGGATTCACCAAAGTCACACAATAACACAAACATACTAACCGTTGGAGGCAGCGGTAGGTCAGCAGGTGAGGTTAAATTACAGGTTTTGTCAATGGAGTCTCGTGGCTTTGAAGAGCGCATAGATAATTGCTTCAGTTCCCCGCCGTATAGCCAAACATAGTGTTCATTTCAATTGATCAATAGATATTTTTTAGTAATACACCAACTATGGATGGATATTACATACAAAGCCACTTCAAAAAAATCTGCACTACCCCTTTAAATTGATGATTGAGTAGTTTTATGTTTAGTGAGACAATGCAGAGTTTCCAGCGATCTATCATTCACATCAAGGATTGCTTCATCGGTGGAATGTGTGGTGACGAAACTAAGGCTGAGCCCAAATCCCCCCCCGCGACGGCGCCCGCAGCACCTTCCTGTTGAGCATGGCCCACATGACGGTGTCGAAGGTGCCCTTGGCGATGAGGTAGTGCACGTTGACCGAGGCCGTCTGTCCGATGCGGTGGGCCCGATCCTCCGCCTGCTTGATGTGGCCGGGGTTCCAGTACAGCTCGGCGAACACCACGTGGCTCGCTGCGGTGAAGGTCAAACCCTGCAGAGGACGGACGGATGAACACACACACACACACACACACACACACACACGCTAATAAGAGCCCACTTAGAACAAAAATACCTCATTCACCTCAAATGGAGCACTCCAGCCCACATCCAATGAAATGTAATTTGGTGAAATCATTTTTTCTTTTTAATAACTCGAATATTAGCAGCTAATTGCCGTATGAGAGCTTCGAGCACCTACTTCCTTTGATTGGAACGCGTAACATATGTGCACACATTCGCTCATCCAGAATAATTAATGTCAAGTTTATTATCGAGAGCGCAACATATTTTTGGCATTTATTTCTACTTGCACAAACCTCGATTAGGATTCCCTGCAACCGGGAGCAGTCATCATTATTGCTAACATGCACCTCGAAGCCTATTTATTTTACCAAATGTAAAGCACTAGTTCATCCGAGTGCTCATAAGTGTTTCTGATGATCAAATTCAATCTTTTTAAGGACTATTCCAGAGTCATTTGTGAATACTTGAAAAGCAGATTCTTGGCAACTGAAATAAAAAGGAATAATGTTGAGTCATGAGTCGCGTGTGTGTGACTACCTGACCGGCTGCCTGGATGCTGAGGATGGCCACCCGCGTCTCCGGGTCACTCTGGAACTTGTGGACCAGCTGGATTCGCTCGGAGGACGGCACGCTGCCGTCGATGCGGATGTAACCGGCCTGCAGCGACACAACGTTTACTTCTTTGGAGGAAAACAACAACAACTCCCAAAGGGGTGATAGATGAGCAAAAACCAGACGGCGACAGCTGCCAGGTGCGCAGCTGATGGAACACGTGCTTTAAAGCAGCACTAATATATGTTTTCATTTGTGTTATGTCTCCTTTCAAAAGTTACATTGTCTCATTTTCAATTTGAACATAATTAAAACTTTTAAGGTCAGACTAACCAAGTCAAATATGGTATTCATCACCAGCCTAGTACAGGCGGCAACCTCCGGTTCTGACGGCTGACGCCAGTGCGGAAGTGTCTTAAAACTTGTATTCTCTCTCATGGCCATCAGGGGCGACTCCTCTGGTTGTATAGAAGTCTATGAGAAAATGACTCTACTTCTCTCTTGATTTATTACCTCAGTAAACATTGTAAACATGAGTTTATGGTCTCAATCTCTAGTTTCAAGTCTTCTTCAATACAGCATGATGCTCATTTAGTAAATTATGGTCCATTTAGAGTCAAACAGACCATAAAGCAGGGGATGCTTTTGGGCGGGGCTACCTTGTGATTGACAGGCTGCCAGAGCCGTATATGCCGTCTCTACCTCACTCCCCCGCATTCCAAGTTTGGTAACTTCTGTTCACCGGTTGCAAGAATTCAAGATGGCGACGGCCAAATCGCCAAACTCGAGGCTTCCTAATGGCATTCTGCGAACCAACGGGTGACGTCACGACGACGACGTCCACTCCCACTGTACAGTCGATGGCCTAGAAGCGCCGGATGTCTGGAAGTGCACCGGCAAATCTGCAGATTACGTTTGTTTGCACATTTCTTTGAATTGACTAAAGGTTCACACGGTTTGCGAAGGGGCAGCATTTAACAAAGCCAATGCAGATTTGTGCTGGAACATTAAAAGGCACGGGGGCTGTTTTTTTCATTAACCTGCATTCCATATTCTATATTGATGGTATTTCAATGACGGATGTACTAGCCGGCGGAAAACGTGACCAGAGGAGCTGCAGGGAAAAAAAGAAATTGCTGCTTTGAAAGAAAACGAGAGCGACGGTGATAACAGAACATTTTGTGAACATGTTTTTAGGCAGACAAAGAGAGAGCGTCCGTTGAACCTGAACTTGATGTTCAAGTCGCTGAGCTCCTAATGCACTCTTTTGATTCGGCTCAGCGGCACTGTGCAATGCTACTGTGCCTGCATGAATATGAAGATGAGAGAACACAGAGGTCTCGTTTGAGTTTTCCTAGAAAAATAAAAGAAGGTTGAAAATAAATGTGCTCGCGGAGAACTAAGCATCCCAGCAGGTTAGAACAACAAATAAATAACACTCTGAAATCAAACCTGCTGTTTCATCACACTGAAAACATTCCCAACTTCATTAAAAAAAACAAAACGCTGACCAGTTGGCAACGGGCGAGAAGGGGGGGAGAGGTGCGGAGCTTAAAAAAGCATAACGTCACGCTCCTGAACGCAGCGTGCCGCCTGTCGTTTGCTTTTTTTAGCCCGTCCCTGTTAATTGCCGAGTGCGAACACGGCGGCGAGAGAGCGCCTCGCATATGGATGTGCGATGACACGTCGCACCGCTGCATTACAGTTCAACGACGCCTCTCCGACCACCGTCACTGTCACACACACACGTAATCTTTCACAGGTTGACTTGAGAAATGCGTCTTGAGAGATCAGTTGTGGAAGTTTACTTTCTGAGAGAGAAAAAATAAATAAATACTTTCTTTAAGAATGAGGAAAAATAATTAATCTTAGATGAAGATTGATTGACTGCTCAAGAGGTGCTTGATACTAAACGCATGTTGTGTTTCAAAATAGAACTAATTATCTACATATTGCACCGCAATTGCACTACACACCTGAATTTAGCATATCAAGTGTTGGACGCAAACAACTCCTGACTGCCAACACCTGCTGCACATCCCTCGCTGATGCACAAGGCCGCCTTGTGAGCTTAGCGCTCAGCACTCCGTCTATGTTAATCACAGATGCGGCGAGGATTTGACTTATAAACGCAGCGGGGCGACGGATGAAAGAATAAAACCTAAAGTATGGGGCCAATTACCTCTGGTTAGCCAGGGAGGAGGGCTGAAATATGAATACTGCACATTTAGTGATTACAGGTTTACCGGTAATGGGCAGTACAGGTTCCCTGCAGCTGGAAAAGAAACTGACGGAAATTTGTGCCAAGATGGAATAACCGTATTGATCGGGCAAGAATAACACAAATTACTTTTTTTAAACCACTACATTTTTTTTATATAAGCTTTTTTTGTGTGTGTTTTCAGTGCACAGGTTGTTTTTTTTTGCATCCATCAAAATCGTTTGACCACTCGCGGCCACCGTACATGCAAAAGCCATCATCCAAAATGGCATGCGATTAGCCGATTCACTCCCAACACAAAGCACTTCACGGCAAACAAAGGGAAAGAATGCGGGTTTTAGAGATTTAGTCGGTAGTGGTGTGAGCAGCTAAGCGATGGCTTTTTGCTGAGTCATCCGTTCATTAGCCTCGGTCGGGACTAGCACTGTCCATCGTACTGTGAACTGTCGTCTCATTGTGCAAGATCTGTTGTGCGTAGCGATGTTTGTCGAATGGCGGTGGCCCAGAGGGCAGTCTAGTGCGTCTTTTAAAATGTTTCTGTAAAAAATGTATTATCTTCTTTCATCAATGCGATACATTGGTTTTACTGTTTCATGTGTGTCTTGCTTTAGTTGGACCTCACCGACGGGCTTTCTGTTGTTATAACGCCACGCTTTTGCTTTGCTTTGTCCGTCAAAGCACTTTGTAAACTCAGTTTTTTAAAGGTGGTGTATAAATAAAGTTGCCATTATTATTATTAGTACTAAAAAATAATACGGTGGAATAAGGGCTAATTGTGTCTCAGGAAAATACAGCACAAACAACCCGAGAAATCAATGCACCACGCATATAAATACATCCATTAATAAATAAGTGTGTCCCTGTAATCAGCAGAGGGGACGAGACTCCTCACAAAGACGTGACAGCATCACCTATCCGGATCGGAGTCGTTTCGGGGTAACATGTCAAGTGTCATGTGTGTGTGTTTGTGTGTGTGTGTTGCTGCATGTAGTTGCTTTCGACCCGCTCCAGTTGCCTGCGGAGTGCCTGAGGTTACCTTGGCCTCAACGGCGGCCTCGGTGCAGGCCTGCAGCATGGTGAGGTGGTGGGCGAACACCAGGAACTTCAGCTGCTCCGCCTCCAGCATCATCTTAATGTAGTCCTTCACAGCTCCCGCCTGACCCCACGCACACACACACACACACACACACACACACACACACACACACACACACACACAGATACAGAAATAGACACAGATGAAAGAGAGCTGCTGAATCCATCACCACACTGGTCGACTGCACGGCACGGAGGAATCGGCCGGATCAGTGAAGAAGTCAATCAATCACCGCGGCATTCCTCTCCGCGTGATCGATTCTCTATTGAATGCCGGGGGTCCGGACTTTAAAAGCAGCAAGCTCGTGGAGGTGACAGGTGGGGGGGCACATTTGTCAGCTCAGAGAGTGAGAGCAAATCAATAACTCGCAACTTGGAGAGATATGATTTGTGAGTGCGCTTTTCTCCAGACACAAGAAGAAATCACCTTTTGTTCCACGGACAACACGATGAATCTCAGAATTTACCAACAACTTAATAAAGACAAAGTTTTTTTTTTTTTTTTCAAATGTCATGAAATTTGATTTATTGTCAGATATTCAGAACATTTTCAGATTTTTGCCTTGCAAACACCCCTCGAAAGTATATTTTCATCTGGCTGTGTGTCAAAGTTCACCAACTTCACTCTGGAGTTGCTTGGTTCTAATTTTATGTGACCCCGTTTTTATTAACGCCTGGTATTTTTCGACCCGTTAGTCTTGATTTATTTATGAAGTCAAATGCTAACACTGCTAAAAAAAAAAAATTATCATAGTGCGAATTCAACAGGATCTTGCGGCCCTGATTGACAGCGTGAAGCTAACGATCTTGAAAAATGAAGCTGCAGAAGTGCCAGAGAGTTAACTGTGCCCTGCAGGTATCCGTATCTATAATTTCACCGCTTGCCGCTGCCCGAGCGATCGCACCGTGACGGCTGTGTGGCCTGTCCTCGCTACTTCCTGCAAAGCTCGGAGTGGATGTGCTGAGCGAGCGTGTCATTGAGCGTCCGGGGCCTCGTCTCGGAGCCTCGGAGGGGCATAAAAAAGCGGCCAAGAATAGCAGCGACTAGTGAGAAATACTGACTTCTGATTCCAGTCAAACAAGAGGGCCCCGTCTCCGCGGTGTGAATCTCAACACCTCCTGCAACCTGACAACCTCTGCTGCCATCACACCTGCTCTGGTGGGAGAACCTCTGCTTCAGCCCTACTGATAATTAGCCGACGCGCCCGATAACGAATCTCATCGCCAGTCCTGCCGACCCAGTTGTTATCTGGGGGGTGGTGTGTGTGTGTGTGTGTGTGTGTGTGTGTGTGTGTGTGTGTGTGTCCTCATTACCGACGGCTCGGGCTTCGCCGGGCTTCCTTCCGCCGAGTTTAATTAGTGCACAAACTTCTCGGCTGTCTGAAGCGGCCCCGTTAGAGATCGCTTTAAAGTCCGGCATCAGAGCTGTCCTCTCTCTGGGTAATTGGGAGCAGATGCTTGGCGGGTTAAGCAATAAAAATACCCCAAAGGCATTTGGCAGCTCCGTCGCCAGGCGGAATGGCAGGCAGGCGGGCCGGCAGGGGCCACGATGCCCGTCAAAGTGACAGATATGTGTGAACATATCGCACCATTCCACCCCTCCTGATGATCAACAAAATAAAGAAAGGAAGAAAGAATGCGTTTTTTTGTTTGTTTTCTGAAGTAGAAAGTGTGTCTGGCTCTTAAAAAAACCAATAGGAGAGGAAATGAGACTGGGTCGGGTGTATCGGCTTTGAGGTGGGTGGTGGTGGTGGTGGTGGAGGGGGGGGCGCTTTGTAATGAAAGGAGGTCCAGTGTTAGGCTAAACTGAGCAGAAATCCAATCGGCAAACAACGCCGAGCACAGAAAAAGATCCAAGCTCGGAGGCAGGCCGAGTGAGCGGCACGTCGATGATTGCGTTCGGAGGTTATCTCCGGTCTTCCTTGACCTCCGGGTGGGGGCGGGGGTGCGGGTGGGCTGTGACTCCTCGGGGCTCGTCGGGCTAATTGAGAGGAACGCCAGCTCTTGAACGCGTCACATGATTGGTGAGGGATGCCGTGTTTGGTGGGAATGTTTACTCAACCGCGTATGTGAGAGGACCGGTCTCAGTCTGGAGACTGAAACACTACATAACTGTCTCACAGATGTTTCCACTGAGGAGCAGGAAATGTAAATGCTTGTTAAGATCATCGCCACCGGTTGCTCTGACCCCGACCTTCCTCATTCTGTGTGCATCGAGCCACCTTTCCCCCGCATCGCTTATTTCTCCCTCATTAAAAGAAAGAGAGAGCCGTCGCTTCAAACCGAGAAGGCCGGCCCGAGTTGCCATGGCAACAGCATCACAGAGGATGCTATTTTCAGTGCGGTGTGTAACTTTGAGATAAGGTGTAATCATGCCAGGCTGGACGCAACTAAATAATACATTGGCTGTAACTCCCGACTTTGTCTAAGTGCTTTCACCGGCGACCATTAGGCTCCGTTACCATGGCGATGCCTTCCCATGAGATCTCGCCGAGCGGTCGGCCAAGCGCTCTGAACACGATGCCGCACCATCAGTTCAACACTTCCTGAAACATCAAACCGAACAAAAGAAAAAGGGGCATTCTTGCCAATTTTGAGGCTATTCAAACGGTTGCGGATGATGTGATGCATGTGGTGAGGAGTTCTAACTGTTGGGAGCCCTAGAGGTGCAACACCTTTGGGTGCTCGGCCACAGGACACTTCCATCCGTGAGGCAACGTGGCGCTAATGAAGTGTGGCGTCAGTTTTCTCACACCTTGTGTGCTCATGTAAAACTGGAGGTAGCTTTACTTAAAACACATGAACTGTTAAAGGAGGTTGTTCTGTTTGTCGGGTGTCACATTTTCTAATAGGTTGCCTACCAGATGCGGCTCAAAAAGGAGATATTTTCAGGGAAGCTTTGTGTGAAAACATGCCCCACTTTGAATATATATATATATATATATATATATATATATATATATATATATATATTATATGTATTATTATATTTCTAGAATCATTATTATAATTACCATTGTTTAAGGTATTAATTTGTTTTATTAATAATTCAACTTATTGGGGAAATTAGGAACAAAATTAGCCAACATTTGACTTGCTGCTGTGCAAAGAAAATAAAAAAATCACATTAAAAGGAATACTTTAATAAATTGTTGGGCGATAATGGGACCAGAAGGATTGATACTGCCCTCGTTGCCTCAGAGGTGCCAGTAGGTGGATTTTGTTAGCCTCGGACGGAGCCAGGCTAGCCGTGTTTTCAGTCTGTTTACGCTAAGCTAAGCTAGCCAGCTGCTGGCTGCAGCTTCGTATTCAGCATGCAGTTATGAGAGTGGCGTCGATCCTCTCATCCGACTCTCTGCAAGAAAGCAAATGAGCCGTTTCCCCAAAATGTCGAGCTATTTCTTCACTTAAATCACGTCTTTTTCACGACCGTTTTCAGGTTAAAATTGTTCCTTCTTGTTTGAAACAAGTCCTCCTTTCAACACTCCACTAAAACAAATGGGAACTGTAGTTTTTAGCAACAATACTCAAACAGAAGGAAATGTGCATTGGGGACTATTGTCAGCTGTGGAGCTCTGGAAGAGTCAGGATTTTCCCCCCCACCCACAGTACTTGATAGCAGGATTCAGAGAAATACTGTATAATGACAAAGGCCGGGGGTTCAAACAAGAAATACTCAAGCACCACCTGGTCGTCGTCCCCCCCCCATTACCTTGGCGATGGCTGTTTGCTTGTACATCTGTGTGACCAGGCCCATGACCTGAGTGAAGGGGTTGTCCGTGGCACCGCCCCCCGACCCCAGCCCCTTCATCAGTCTCTCATACTCGGCGAAGCTGGCCAAGGCCTCCTGCGGGCAAAGAAGAGATACGGTGGACACGGTGAGGACGATGTCCTTCATTCTCTCTCGCTTGTTCTCCACTTTTTCTTTTTGTGATATAAAGGGCAAAACTATTAATGGTGCTGCTGGGTGTCCTACTTTCCCTGGAAGAGAAAGAAAGAAAGAAAGAGGGAGAGAAAATAGAGAGGGATGGAGAATTCCCAAGGATGCCCCCCCCCCCTTCCTCCCCCTGACTGGGCTGCTGAGCTAGGTGGGTCATGAGCATCTCCCAATTATAGCCGCCGTGTGACAAGCCGGGGTCGAAGATGGAGAAGCAGCCGGGCCGGTACAATAAATCAAAAGACGCCTCGCGCGATATCTCTCTCTCTCTCTCTCTCTCTCTCTCTCTCTCTCTCTCTCTCTCT